GTTATTATTTTTGCTTCCTTCCAAGTATTCGGAAAATGAGAAAGCCGAAAACAATGATTGAATAAATGAGTTAGGTGAACCAGTGGTCGCCTTGGAAGGTGCCTGAGGCATTCATTTGGGATGCCGTCAATTCCACAGGTCTTTCTTAATTTCAGGGATTTTATTAATTTCTGAACGTCACATGGTCTAATCTTTTGAGGGGGGGGGGTTGTCTACGGTTTCAAACAGAGCTTGAACTCTAGCCTCCACCCGCTGTTCATGGTTTTTGTCGCACAGGTCATGTGGCATGAACTGAATTTCCAAACAGTCGGCAATTTTGTTGGCTTTTTCAGAAGGATAAAATTTAAGGCCAGAAGAACCATGAATAACAGTTGGTGCCCTTGGTCCATCTCTCTTAAGGAGAGATTTCACAATGAGCCATATACGAGTACTTTGAGGTGTGACTTCAGCATTACCTATTTTTGTTTCCCACCGTTCAAGTGCCTTTTTACGGGTCATTCGCCTGATTGATTTGGTGACCCAATTTAGTGTCATCTTACACGCTGGATCCCTGGTTTCTTGCCACAATTTTCGTAGCCTCTGTTTATATTTTATCAAATGATCTAGACCAGGAAGATTGTTGTTTATGTCCGAAAGTGTAACTTTACTTGTCAACAACCTATATGCCGAAGCAATAGAGGCTGCAAAGTTACATGCCGCTTTATCGGCTTCTACCCCCGAATTAATTTCTAGTTTAGGTGATATTATTTCAGAAGCTATGCTTTGAAACCGCTCCAAATCTGTAAATTTTTCAATGGGTTCCAAAAGATTCCTAATTTTAACGTGATCCAGTATGTGGAATAATATTGGTAGGTGATCTGAATCCAAAATATCAGAGATGATGACATCTGACACTCTGATAGTTTTGTGAACCACAATGTGTAACACGTCACCATTTCCCGCAGGGGAGTAATGAGTGGGGCACTGTGGTGCTGAGATTTTGAAATCACTCTTATCAAATAAATCAATGAGTATCAAGCCTGAGGGGTTTGAAATTCTGCTATTCAAAAATGGGTGCTTAGCATTCAAATCACCTGCCAAAATAGACTTTCGTCTGAAGCTTAAGAGCTCAGTGATGTCATCATCACACCAGGCTCTGCCTGGAGATTTATAAACAGCTGCAAGCAGCACTTCGCTCTTACCGATTGGTATGCAGACCCCTGTTGCTTCTACTGGGACAAGGGGTGGTAGGTCTACATGGTTATGGGGAATGCCTTTTCTTACTGCAACGGCAGTTCCGCCTTTTCTACCCGAGTGGTGGTCGATTCTATAAAAGTGTTAATTTGGAATAAAGAACCTCTCATGAGGTTTCAGATGTGTCTCTGAAAACAGGGCCACATCTGCGTGTAGGTCTTGCAGCTGTTTACTGAGCTCATAGCGCTGCCTCCCAATGCCGTTCGCATTAAATGCTATGACTTTGAGGGGCCTATGCTCTCTAGTGGCCATTTTGGTTCATTAGGTTTAATACAATTTTAGTAATGGCCATTATTTTTTCCTCCTCGGACACTGCACCACTGACCTCTGTCATAATCTGCTGTTCTACAGTCACTACTCTCAACATATTGTCGAGAGATGGACTGTTTACATGAGTAGCCTGAGTTGACTGACCTGTTTTTTGTTCCTGTACAAGGACCGGGATGCTCGGTTTCGTGGCTTCTGGTGGAACTGCCACTGGAACTTGGAGAGTCTGAGGTCACTGCTCCTGTGATGTGCTGCCATGGAGTGCCGCCACGAAGGTGACTCCAGGGGTAACGATATTCGAGGAGAACACCCTTCCCATTGTGGTTTTGGGTGCTCTCTGCGATTTCCTCCTCTGCAGCCCCGATAGTTGGCGGGATGTGGTTTCTCTCCCTCCTTTAACTGGCAATTGCAACAAGCTGGAGTGGAGGTAGCGATTTCTTTCTCTGGGCACTCTTTATACAGGTGGCCACCCCCGCACCACATGCAACCGGGAGGTTGCTTACAGTTAGCCCAGACGTGGCCAAACTGTTGGCAGTTGTGACACTGCGTAAGGCCACTCTGTGATCTATATGCCTCAACCCAGATGGAAATGTGGCAAAGAATGCCGCACATTAAGTCAAAGTCAAAGTCATGTTGCAACTGACGGTCAGTCAGTCTGTCTGTCTTGGGGCTCATGACCAGATGTTTCCTTCTTTGTGAAATTTGCTGTTCTGTCCATTTGGGGCGCCCTCTCTGACGAGAGGTCGGGTCTGTCATCTGTCAGTCCTAGTCCGTCCATGTCATCATTGACACATATTTACAATTTAATTCTAGTCTAATTTACTATTTTTATGTACAATATATACAAGGCCTCTGTCAATCCAGGCATTGTACAGCAGATTATGCCCTATTTCCAGTAGTAATCACTACCATGGCAGTCTAGTCACTTGAACGGTCCTACGCCTGACCGCCGCCTTTTAAGCCTCTTATACTTTCTGTGGCAGGCTTTGCCTTGTCCAATGTTGTGAACATTCTCATTATCATGATTTTGTATGACTTCTGCTTGTTGCCTGCATAATTTTATTATGTAATCATATACGTATGGAATTTTGAATGCCATGTGCAAATCGCAGACATGCTGCACATTGCTGGCAGTGCTCATATTTATACAGCACTCGATGTCAACCCACCTCTAGATCATAACATGCGCTAACCAATCACATTGCTGCCAGCACTCGTATTTATACAGCACTCGCTGTCCAGCCCACATTTAGATCATCACATGCGCTAGCCCATCAGCACTCACAATCGCACCTGCAAGTTTCGCTCCACCCATTAAGCACGGTATAAAAGGTGGAGCCCAAAGCTCGCAATCATCAGTGATCACATTCAGTTCAGAGCGAACAGTCATCAAAGTCATCATTTCTACACTATGACCAGGCAACTGACATAGTTGCCGCAAGTCTCCAGTGACCATGCCCTGCGACCAGGCAACTAACGCAGCTGCCTCAACTCCAGCAACCGCGTTTTGTTACCTGCCAAATTATCAGCGCATGCCCAGTGGAACGAATGGCCCTTTTCAGGGCCCGCAAACTTTCCGAAGTGGTTGTCTGTTGGAGTATCGACAAATCCCACACATTATTCACTGATCATCTTATTCATGCTATATAATCTTAGAGACTGAAAGCATCATTAAATAAACAAATAATAGTAAATAAAGGAAGCTTCAAATTGTTGGGGCTTGTTGCTTTTTCTTGAACATATGTGTCAAATCCAAGCTGCAGTTTCTACATTCCATGTAGAGTTTTCTCTGATCTCAGGTCTTCCCTTTGTCATAACTTCTTTTACTTCTATGTATGATTCCATAATTCTTATAAAACTTAATAGAACTGTGTATCCTGCATGAAATAACATATGTACTTACTTTTATTTGTTTTCATCAGCTGGGAGGCATCATTGAACCAAATGATGGAAAATGCCATTTGGATGAAGGTGGAATGTATACACATTCTACACTTCAGGATTATCCTTCAATTTTACACCTTAAACATAGAGTGAGAGAGAATGCTATCAATATCCTGTTTGCTGTGACAAAGCCCCAGCAAGAAGTGTACAGTCTCCTGTCAAAAAATATAGATGGGGCAAAAGTTGGCCACTTGACAGCCAACTCTTCCAACATTTTAGAACTGGTAGAAGAACAGTACAAGGTAAATCTCATCTCAGGATTATATCAAATTAGAATATCATTCCTTCTCTTGGCACTAAAGCCAAGTCAGGTATTGACTTCCTCAAGATTTACTTTACAAGAATCAATCCATCAGCAGATCTTAACCAACCAGACAAAAATATGGACAAACAACCACAATCCATGTTAAATTGAAAACCACAAAATCATTGTTGCCACTAGGATTAGTACCACAAATGATTCAACAGTCTTGAAGTACATAAGCATTATTTTTGGCCATTTCTGGCAACTTTTGAGAAAAGAACAGCATATTTTTATATTAAGATGTCTGTATGAAATTTTTATTTTGAAAATTAACAAATTACAGTTTAAATCCTCATGACTAATCCATTAGATTAGGTTTCAGCTTGGAGATGACATTTATAAGACAGTTCAGATTTTACATAAGCAAAATATGGGGATAATTTTGTACATTATGGGTTTATTTAATCTCAGTTGCAAATTTGTGCACATATGTCATAAACGTTTTGTAAACATGATATTTATCATTCTTATTACACAATTTCGGGTCACCGTAGTAACAAATTCTCAAGTGTGCAACATGTTAGATGTTGCATTAACACAAATTATGTAGTAGGTCACAAACAAGAAAGCAATATTTTGTTTCAGTGCATCTTGTCTATTCTGTAATAATAATAATATTTTGTTCTGGATTGTGAAGTATAGCATACTATAAAAGGGAGCTCATTTATGATTGACTATTTATGTGTTTTATACATGGGAGATGGCCTTAAACATCAGCCTCGACATATTATTTAGCAACATGTAGTAGACCTGGAAAAGAATATGGGAAAAAGCTGGGGAAGTTAATAGTACAAATCTTGTATGACAAGTGATGAGACCTCCCACTGAATTGTCAATGGATGTTATACTAGTATCCATGTAATAAACATTCATGTGACATGACGACTGGAACATTACCTGCTACTTGGCAATGGCTCCATAAACATATATTGCAGCAAGAGATATGTGCGCGACAATAGAGGAACTGTTGGAAGCAGTGTCTTCAGTGCGGTCCATTCTGAGGTTATATAATGAAGGCTATGGGAGAAGTTATTCAGTATGAAAGGCCAAGCATATTCATAAGAGATATACCCATCTTCTCGTCAGAGAGGATGTTACATAAGGACTGTGACTGCAAGGGTTCATTTGAAAAGAAAATATATCTTGTCATGAGTCTCAAGTTGCTTAGTGCCAAGATGAACTGATTAGCAGAAAACCGCCAGTTGTAAAGTTACTTTGATGTTGACTTTGAGTTAGTCAGTGAGAGCCAGTGATGGTCAAACGAGGCTAGGATTTGGAAATTGGTAGTCATATGTGAGTTCCCATCACAAATTAGCTTGGGACAGTCGTCAAGCAATAAGGATATGAGTACAGAAACTGAGGAATCTACATTGTTGGGAGCCATTAACAGGCAAATACTGGTGAAGACATAGAAGACTTCATGTGTGCTGCAGTACAGTGATTTTTAGCAGCTGTAGATCCTGAAACTATTATTGTTATCTGTAGTTACAAGTTATAAGTGTTCAGTAAATCCAATTACCAATCTAAACTCGTTGTGTAGTCAGTAACACGTGACATCTGGTGTCAGGTGTGGATAGAATTGGATTGGGTTGAAGACTATGTTGGACAATTACATCACCATGTTATGAAAATGGAACAAATGATGGAACACCTGCTGGCCAAAATCGAAACCAACCAAGTGGAAATGAGACCCAGCCTAGCAGAGATAAGAGCTGAAATGAAAATTAGTTGAGAAGAAATGAAAGCTCATCAAGAGAGGATGAAAGCCCTGATGGATATAAACCTAGAAAAGATGCAGGTCTGTTTAGAAAAGATGTAGAACAAGGTAGAGGCATGTCCAGAAAGGATGGAGGCCAATCAAGAAATGATAGAGGATGTAGCAGATCACTATAAACGGGCCCCATGCATAAAGGCCATGCACCTTCTTAGCGCCCTGCAAGACTGAGCTTGCGATGTTCTACACAAAGCCTCTAAATGAGCAACGAGCAAGGAGACTGTCTGGGCAATTGAGTACCGATTTTGGGACCAGCATCTGGCCATAAGGTATGGAATCAAATAAAAACAAAGACCCAAAACATTGGTGAGCCTATGCATGAGTTTGCTGATGCTGTCAAACAGTTGATGCACCATTCCATTCTTGCACTACCCAATACGGCCATAGGAAAGCAGGCATTACATTTGTTGATGGGATAAGAGACTGTGGCATAAGACAGCAGCTACTTTTTGGAGGCAACAAGAGACCCAACGAGGCCCTCAGGCAAACCCATGTGCTGGAAGTCATAAAGCTAACAGTCGGGTCTTCCATCAGACCTCGGAAAGTGAGTGACAGAGCATTGTGGAGGAGCTGGCCCCTCCCAAGCCTTAAGAAGGGTGAAATATGACATGATGACTTAAACATCGCTCGCTGCTAGGTAACAGCTCAAGTAGCACGTATCACTGCAACAGACACGCATGCAGTAATAAAGGAGCTGTTGGAAGCTGTGTCTTCTGTGAGATCTGTTCCAAGGCTGTGCAGCAAGGACTGCCAGGAAAAATAAGCCAGTCAGATCCAGTGCTAGCCAGGACAGTGAGTGGTAGCCAGTGTTGGCCTGCCACAGCTAGTTGTTGCAAGTCAGCAGTTAAATGTGTGAGTTACCATCATGAGTTAGTTGTGGGACAGTTGCCAGCAGTAAGGTCATGAGTACAGAAGCTGAGGAATCTTCATTGTTGGGAGCCATTACCAGGCAATGATGGGTGAAGACATAGAAAACTTTATATATGCTGAAGTACAATGCTCTGTAGAGCACGTGAAGTCATGAAACTGTTATATTTACCTGCAGTTACAAGTTATAAGTGTTCAATAAATCCAATTATGAATCCAAACCCCTTGTCTAGTCACAAACATGTGACAGTAATTGGCTATTCCCTAGGTGACCAATAAGCCTTGTGCCTGAAGTACAACTACAAAAATATTTGCTTATGATTTTTATTTGTTGATTACTATATTTCAGAAAGTTTCATCGTCTGTTGATATGCAGCATGATGCTCCAGAATATATACAAGTTACATTCTATACCTCATGCCAAAGTTCATCTGAGGCAGTAAGGCAATCCAACAAATGCAATGAACTTAAAATTGGGCAGGAAGTTGAATTCCAAGTGGAAATCGTAGTTCGTTCTTGTCCAGCAGATCCAAGTGACTGGAATCAAACCTTCAGGATTTTTCCTGTTGGAAGTCAAGAAGCAGTCCTTGTTTATCTTGAAATGAGCTGTGAATGCTCTTGTGAGCATCACGAGCATTCTGTAAGTAACATCTTATTGAAGTTTGCCATCAAATTTACACTGAAAAATTTGCTTTTCAGCAGTATCGCTTTACTTCATATTATAGTGATATGTTCATGAATGTTGTGTTATAGCGTTTCAATCTTTTTTTGATCTGCAAACTTGGGTTTTTTGAGGTTTGGTGCCATGTATCTCACAATATGCTTTACAAATACTGATCCACAAATGTAACATTACTAACAAGTCTAACATGTAAGCCTTGAATCTTTCAGGGCTACTAAAAGTGATAAAATTTTCTCAGGAGATCAGTTGCATCAGTTTAGAATCAAAGACCATAACTTCAGAGACTGCCTCTATCGCCATAATCTGGGAACGATTTACTGAGTAAACATTGTTTGTTGATGATGTATGCATATATATCACCATCAAGGCCTCACATTTATGGACAACCAGTAACCCATTAAGGACAATATGAAAAATTGAATGTAAAGCCATCTAGGCACTATTGACATTGTTCTTGCTTAGCCTGACACATTAGGCCAAAGTGACCCATGTGGTGTCATGTGGCTGTATGATGCTTCACTCTGTTGTGTGTATGCTCTGTCATCTGAAGCATTATAGCTCCCCCATCTCTTGTCTTGTCTGCATGTTTTGCATAACTGTGCACCTACAATTTAAATATGAAATACAACACAAGAAAAATGCTTCAGCAAAATAGATGCAGCACAATGGAGATCCACTTTGTCCTTCACCTCAAACATAAACTTCAGACTAAAATAAACCAACCTTTTGACTTGGCCGTAATACCATTCATCCAGCCAGCCTGTGGTGGTAAGATCATCAGACTGCTTGCCAAGCAAAACATGTAGATATTGAACTGGCCAGCCAAGAAGAGTTTCAGAATTTCCTCAACCTTTAACATGTGAATGTTATCTATATCTAACGGCAAGTAACTGCTGTGACCAAATGTTAGATTTATCTAACACAGTACAGGTGCACTCTTTGGGAATGCTGACAGTTTGATCTTCGGGTTGAAACCACAACAAACCCATGCAAGGTCAAGTCAGTGGTTCATTCATTAGCTCAGAATAATGAAATCGTTTACCATGGTACTGGTTTCGATACTATTTATGTTTAGATATGACTGTTTATGACCTGGTCAGCCAAATAGAACACAGCTTTGTTTTAAGAACTGAGAAGTAAATATTCATCTGAGCATGCAGATTAGTTCTACTTGACCTTGCAAGGAAGTGGGTCATTGTCAGGGATTGGTTTTCAGTAGGAAATTATCGATCAGAAAGTCAGTGTCGGATTTTCAATTATTCATTTATAAAACATTTTTATTTTGTGTCTTAAGTTGAGGTATATAGCAATTGAAGACAACAATGCACATATGGGCATTGTGGATAAATCTGACAGGATGGTAAATGATTATGGAATTGCCCAGAGGACATGGAAATCTGCAAATAAATTGTTTTTCCACCTTCTAGATATGACTGTTCTCGATGCCTGTTTATTGCACAAGTCATGTGGTGGAAGAATGACACATAAAAAATTCCACGAAATCCTAGTGCAAGATGTGATTGTACAGTCGCATAACGCGAATATCATGGTCAGTGGCATTTCTCAAGGGAGACCAAGCTCATCTGAGGCCCAACTGAGTCGAGTAGAGGTGAAACATTCGCAACACTGGCCATCCAAAGAGATACAAAGACGTTGACCTGTGTGTTCACTAAATAAGAAAACCAGGAGCACCCTCTTCTATTGTAAAAAGTGTGATGTTGGTCTGTGTGTCGATGACTGCTTCAATCAGTGGCGCACGCACTTCAGAGTGTGAGCACTCAATGGAGTTATCATAAACTGTGAAGTGATGCTGTTCATAATCAGATACAGTCTGAACAAAAAAAAATATTTTATATAGTGTATAGTGTGATTNTTCTTATTTCTGTATTGCATAGAACAGAAAATATATAGTTTTCTCTGAAAGTCTGCAACTTTAAAGACTTGGGGCCATTTTAATACCGGCCCAGTAATTACTGTATATGTCTACTTCTTTGTAGCTCTTGTTCTTCCAGGAATACATAGAGGATGCTCCACAGTGTTCTGGTAATGGCACATACATGTGTGGAGTGTGTGCATGTAATAGCATGCACTTTGGGAAGAAATGTCAGTGCAGCTCAAGTGAACCTCTCTCAACAGGAACTGAATTACACAGAGACTGTAAGCCCAGAAAAGATCAAAATGTTTCTGACTGCTATGGGCATGGGACTTGCACCTGTGGAGTATGTCAGTGCACAGAGGTATGAACCCTATTTGTTTATTCATTTCTTTAGTGTAATTAAATTCAGTAAGGGATTTTATAGCCATTGTAAAAATTGGCTAACATCATTTTACTAATCCTGTAAATATGAAAATGGATGGATAAATTGAGATTGTAAATCTCCATTCCATATGAGATAAAAGTTTTTATAAAGTATAAAGTGAGACGCATGGAATTATCTTGTAGAAAAATATTACATTCAGTCTTGTCAAGGAAATAACAGTTTATTAAGACATTACTCATAGACATGGAAAATCAGACATGTAACTAGACAGACATGACAGCACAAAAACAAAGATGTCATACATGCACGCATGCATGCACACACACACACACACACCAGTGTTTTGGAAAAAACTATTGGCTACAACAGGTTGCCATCTGCAAGTTTATGCGTAAACCAGTGGTGCAGTCATTTCCTTTATAACTTGACAATTTCTCAGATTGTCAATAAATTGCTTTTGTTCTGGAACCTGAAGGCTCATCACTCTCTGTCCCTGCACCAGACCAGTCCAATTAACATCATTATCCTTCCTCTATGAGCCTGTCAAATATTACCTTCGCATCTAAGCCTAGGTCTCCTAAGCTGTCTGCTGCCTAACATTTTACAACCAAACATTTTGTTTTTCCAGTACATGCTTCATGTCTTTTACATCTCAGCGCTCTCAATTTGGGTGAAGTGTAAGTCAGCAAGTTTACTAATTTTCGTTGCAGATGTTCTATGGAAAATACTGTGAATGTGATGACTTCTCGTGTAAACAGGAAGACAGTGAGCTGTGTGCCGGTCATGGCTCATGTAAGTGTGGAATATGTCAGTGTGAAGCAGGCTGGATTGGTGACACCTGCAGCTGTCCAGTTTCTACAGAGAACTGTAGATCTGCTGAAGAGAGTAAACTCTGCTCTGATCATGGACGTTGCATTTGCGGTACTTGCCAGTGCAGTGAAAAGTATATGGGAAAATACTGCGAAGAACAGATTCCCACTGTAAGTGTGATAAAATACATTGCTGCATGTGACAGCATGTTGGTAAACCATACATTGCAATATGTTGCTTTGTTTCTTCATGTTTTATCAGAATGTTCAATATAGTAATATTTGGATTATGTTCTTCTAAGTTATGTCGCCATATAGTTGAATAAGTGGTTATAACATTTTGGAAGAAAACATCTGGTCATGAGCCCCAGCTGGGGCTCGTCACCAAGACAGACAGACTGACTGACCGTCAATTGCAAGATGTCTTTGACCTGAATGTGATATTGACTAGGAGTTGAGTGCTGTTTGTTAGACCGGCGAAAGCACGTGTTAATATGTGGGATGTTCCCACAGGCCCAATGAGCATGTAATAAATACCCTCCCCCCCCAAAAAATGCAATCAAATGGAGCCGTGATACATACACAGTAGACCCAGTTTATTTTACAATATTTCACTGCTCTTGATGCGGTTTAATACACAGATGTCAAACAACCCGATAAGGCCAGAAGACAGCAGATAATCTCAAAACAAAATACAGCAATACCTCGCATGGTCTGGCTTCGATCAGTCAGGTTTGAAAATTTCATAGCCAACTAAATTTTAATTGAGCAAAATAAAAATAAATTCTAAAAAATTAGTACACAAAATTATTTTTAATACATAAATGATCGGTTTTTCCCTTTATACAGTCAAGTCTCTTTTTGTGCGGTTTATTTTTATGTGGTTTTAAAGTTATGTACATGTAATATGATACATATTTAAATTTTTTCTCGGGTTCCCCGTTGTGTATGTATGTACCTGTGCTCGGGTCGTTCGTTCTTGAGCTCTGACAGCTATCGCTGGAGGAGGTGGGGAGAGCACTACTTTAATGGAATTTTGGAAGAGCTACATCAGAATCCTTATCAAAAATATAGGCGAAGCATGGCATGAATTAACGGCAAGCAATATGAGTGCAGTATGGAAACATATCATACCACATTGTGCAAATGATTTCATTGGTTTTGAAACGCATTTTGCTGAAGTCACTAGTAACATAATGGAAATTGAACAGCAACTTGGTTTCAATGAGTTAGATTCTGTCAACGTAATTGAGTGCATCAAATCGAACACTAATGAACTAGATAATGAAACACTTATTAACATATGTGAACGGGCTTATGAAGAACGGGAGGACAACTTAGACAGTGACAACTGTGTTGAAGTGCCTGCACGTGAATTAACAGCTGAACAACTATAAAAAATTATTGGAATGGTTGAAACCTTGTCAGAGCATATTATGGAAGTTGATCCCAATATTGAACATAGCCTTACAATTCACCGAACAGCAAAAAATGCAATTCATTGCTACAAAGAAATGTATGGAGAGAAAAGGCCAAAGAAGAAAAACGTGCAGACATCAATATTGCAGTTTTTAGAGAATAAAAAATGAATTGCGAAAAACATGAACTTTTAAAATTATTTCTATTAAAGACATTTTAATTTATTAATTGCATTTTATTTATTGAAAAACGGAGAATTTTTTTGAACCAATTATCATTTTTTGTATGTATTTAGTTCCTCGATTAGATCAGTTTCAAACAGTCCGAGATATTGGCAGAACCGATTACCCGAACTTTGCGAGGTATTGCTGTACTTCACAATCACAGCATCAGAAAAACCCCATGGGGTAAGGTTACATGATGAACAGCCAAAATGCAGTGGAAACAGCAGAGGCGAGTGCAGCCAAAATGGAATTTAAGGAAAGAAGTTAAATATAAGTTTGGAAACCAGACACTCACCTGTTGGTCTTCCTTCAAAAACGCTCATCTTAACTGCCTCAGGGTATATGATCCAAGCTGGGTAGGCTGCTAAATCCCAAAAAAGAAACTACAAAAAGCCCACCGGTAGTCAAGGCCTCGGTATATTGGGAGGAATGGGTATACAAGCAAGAAGTTGACCAGTAGGAAGGGAAGAGATAGAAAATACAGAGTGTTTCATATGGTAACATATTGAACCAAGGCATGGCTCAACATACAGAAAGAACAGTGTTGTTAGGACCTGTACAGAGGCATAAATTAATTTAAGGAGGGTTACAAACCTAGAACTAACGTGATAAAGGATGAAAAGAGTGACTGAACTGTTTTCAGATTCCCACAATACTTTGAATAGATTGAAGAAGTTTTTCTCTTGAATATACGTGGGGTTAACACTATGGAGCAGACTCAAATATAAGTACATACAGCTGGGCCTAGTTCTTTTGGGGCTGAAATTTCTACCGAAAAGTTGAACGGTTGTAAATATCCAGGTACTTGTCGATTTCCAGCAGAATGTATCCAAGCAGGAGGTGAAACAATATATTTTGAAAGCTACAACTTTTTAATTCCACAGTGAAATACCAATTTAGTGTGAAATTCTATATTTAGCGGATAGCGGGAAGTGGATCTGTGATAGGTGCAGATGGGACAGCTTCGTCAACTAGAGGACAAACTGAAAAACGCTCTGCAACAGATTGAGGAACTAAAATGGAAGAACAAGGAGCTGGAAGAGCAGTTACAAGGGACTGTAGTTGGATGCAAGGTCGGCAGGCGTGATGCGGTGTGGAGACGACACAAAGGGCAGAGTGCTTAGCATCGGGTAACTCGATTATATGGAACGTGGAATCTGAACATGTGAGGGTACCGTGCTTTCCACGAAATAGAACTGAACAACTGCAAAGAGTGAAGAAAACAGAGATCTAGGGAGCCCTATTAATGTCATAATTTATGTAAATACTAATGATTTGAGATGAACTGCAAATCTTGATTATGTGATGGGTGAAGTGAAATGAATAAGGCATAAACAAAGTTTCCTCAGTTAAGGCCACACCATAGCTCAAGTGGTTAGTAGCTGGCTTCCCATCGCGGCAGCCCAGGTTCAATCCCTGGTCTGGTCAAGTGGGATTTGTGGTGGACATTGACATTGGGTATTACATTTGTAGATTATTATTTATTATTATTATTTGGAGGGGGTGGGTTTCCCCATGCACTGCGACCATTTGTAGATCCAAACAGATGAATTGAGAATTGGGACTTCAGTATGGATGGACTGCACATGAACCAAATCGGAGCGAGAAGACTATGCCAACTATATTCTAGAGTTTGTGTCTTCGCCGCCAGAGGACAGAATTCGAAGGAGTGACTGTTGCTGAGTACTATCAGAGCGGGAATGCGTGAAGGGACGTGAAACCCAAGAACATCCGACGTTAGTCTGGCAGATGACAAGGAGAGAAGAAGCGATGAAGCAGTTGAAGTGAAAGGCAGGGACCATTAATTCACATGGGAAATAATATTCATCTACAGAGCTCTGAACGAGGTATGTGCAAGTTATAGAAAGATTGGCTGCCTAAACTGATTATTTAGGAAATTCTGCAAAGCATCATTGGAGGAGATTTAAACTTACCCTATGCCGATTGGAATGGTAACGCGGAATGCACTAACAGAAGTCAGACATTTGTAAATAGACTGGTATGGGAAAATGGGTACACGCAGGTAGTAGATAGTCCCACCCGATGTGACGCATTTCTGGATGTTTATTTAGTCCGGCTGGAAAGTTCATTCACCTCTTGCGGCATACTACAGTGACAATTGCGGGACATTATGAGAAGTAGAATGGAAAGAAAATTACTGTCGACCTCAGGTAGAGGGACTAGTCCCAGTGTAGCATAAAGCAAATGTTTTAGGGCTACAAACCTTCCTCCAGGAAAATTCACAATATGGGCAAACAATGGTAGATGCTTTGAGGAGATACAGAATAATTTCAAGGACGTAATAATCGAGAGTGTCGAAAGATTTATTCCACATCAAATTACTTACTTACTTATGGAGCTGAGCCCTTCTTGAGGAGAAGCCAAATCTGCAGCTACTCAAGAATTTCCCAGCATGTTATGACACCCAAAGGTTCATTACCGTGTTCACAAGAGCCCTCCACTAGTCCCTATCTTGAGCCAGATCAATCCAATCGATACCATCCCATCCTATCTCTCTAAGATCCATTTTAGTGTTGTCCTCCCACCTACGCTTTGGTCTTCCAGTGGTCTCTTTCCTTCTGGCTTACCCACCAATATTCTATATGCATTCCTCGTCTCCCCCATTCGTGCTACATGCCCTACCCACCTCATCCTCCTCGACTTGATCATTCTAATTATACTTGGAGAAGAGTACAAGCTATGAAGCTCCTCAGTATGCAGTTTTCCCCAACTTCCTGTCACTTCATCCCTCTTTGATCCAAATATACGACATAAAATACTAAGAAAAATTCGGACCATGATTACTACAATAAGGAAGTGAAAAAGTTAAAGTTGAATGTCAGAAAAGCATATAATAGAAGAAAATTAGGACAGCAGTACTGAGAGGAACTGAAACAACTATCGAAGCAGTTGCTATTAGCCAAAAAATGCACAGGAGACATTTTTAAGATCTATACTAAGAAATGAAGGCAAATGTCAGACTGAGTTTTACAGGTATGTAAAAAGACATAAAGGCAACAGGGAAAATATTCCTGAGATCAAAGATGGTAATGGACGGCTAATTACTGATTCAATAGAAAAGGCTAATTCCCTAAATTTCTATTATTTTTCGATATTCAGCTGTGAGCGTAGCATCCTGCAGATACAGGGTGCCAACTCAGGTGATCCCTTCGCTATTAGCACTAAAAATCATTAGGAAGAAGTTAAGCAGCAGTAAGTAAAGAAAGAAATCAGTAGGGCCAGACAGCATTTCTGGCGAAATTCTAAAAGTGGGTGAGGAAACCATGATTCCATACCTTGCGCCATTATTAGACATAACAATTAATAATGCCACTATCCGAAGTGACTGGAAAAAGGCCATAGTGGTTCCTATTTACAAGGGGGGATGATCAATTGCTAGTCTCAAATTACAGACCCATCTGTTTAACCTCAGTGGTCTGCAAGCAAATGGAATCTGAGAAAATCTGGGATAAAAGGGATTGGTTATTAGAGGGTCAACGTTGATTTAGGCCGCGATATTCATGTGAAAGTCAAGTAATCACGGTTTGCCAGGACATTTCAGATTCACTGGATAATGGAGGTAGAATGGACGCTATTGTAATATATTTTGTGAAGGTTTTCGTTCTAGTTCCCCATGATCGGCTGCTTACGAAAATTGCGGCCTTAGGAGTGGACTAGAAGGTAGTTAATGTGGATAAGGTAATTCCTTTTGGGCCGTACACAGAGAGTTAGAGTAGGAGGCCAATTATCGGAGAAAGTCAGAGTAACGTCAGGGTAACGCAAGGAAGTGTACGGGGTCCACTACTGTTCCTTGCATACGAAAATGATATTTGGAGAAATATTGATCCAACTATTAGACTTTTCGCAGATGACTGTATAATATATAGGCAAACTATAAATAATAAAGATATGCAAAAGTTGCAGATAGATCTGAAGAGGATGGGGGAGTGGGCATTTTAAAATGCAGTGGTAATTAATCACAAGAGCCCAAGCTATGGAACCATTAAATTATTCTTTGTGGGACATAGTAATTCTGTAAGTGAGCAGTTGTAAATATTTTGGAATAATTTTATGCAGCGATTTAAGTTGGGCTGTTCAAGTTAATTACATGGTGAAAGAAGTTTAGCCTACACATCACTAGTGCATCCGATTCTTGAATATGGGGTGACCTGCTTTGGTCCCTACAGAAAGGGACAGATAAATGCGCTTGACTGGGTGCAAAACATGGCAGCTAAATTTGCACATCATGGAAATGATTTGAATCAGTAAACCTTGACACAGCACGCAGGAAGGTAGCTCACATATGTGCTCTCTTCAAAATGTACAGAGGAGAATGGGCTTGGAAGGCTGTAGTGATAGATTACAAGGACCATGCTATCTGAGCAGAGTCAATCATGATAAGAAAATTATGAGCAGAAAACAATGGACAAATATCAGAAAATATTCCTTTGTAAATAGGCCCATTCAGCTCTGGTACCAACTGTCTACAGATGCTTTAGGGACTCTGTCCTCAAAATCAAGTAATTTTAGGGAAAGGTTTAGGAAAGTAATAAATAAAGGCGATGTGAAGGTGTGGGAGAAATCATCTGAAACTGCAGTGCATTGCAGTGCAGTGATGTAAACTGGTATGAGGATGAGAAGGGTACATAAGTGTAGTGAAGTGGAATGAAAGGAAGGTCATGGTGAAAGGTGGGCGCATCAGAACATGACTTTACATATTCCATCACTGTTACTGTTTATTGAAAGCGTACTTTTTTTTTTATTAATATTAATTTATATATTTGTAGTTGTAATTTTATTTGTTGTAGTTGTAATCGTATTTGCTTTGTATTCATTTTGAGTATTGTGTCCTTCATTGCTTGTGTAGTTTTGTGTTCTTTGTTTTGTTTGAGTGTGGTGTGTTTCTTTGTGTGATGTGTGTTGTGTCTTATCATACTATCATTGCCACCAGGTAAAAACCCATTTGCACTTAAATAAAATAATAATAATAAAATAATAACTCCCATGTAGTGGTAGCTGTAATTTAGCACAGGAAAAGTAATTCCCCCAGAATTTCTTTAAATAAGGATTTCACTGCAATTAGGAGGAATGCCACAGCAATGCAAGAAGTCTCTTGCTGTTCTGTTTTGTTTTTTCTTGGCACTACAGCCCCAGTGGGCCTAGGCTTACCTCCAAGAACTTCTCCGTTCACTTCAGTTTTTCTAGATCTTACACATTTGGTATGACTCCTTGGGCAGGTGATCAGCTCGTCACAAGGCCTCTACCTGTACACAAACACAGAAAAACTCACACACACACACACACACACACAAACTAAACATCCATGCCCTGAGTGGGATAAAAACCCACGATCCCGGTTTCCAAGCGAGCGAACACAGTACATGTCTTAGACAGCCTGGCTACCGTGACTGGCAGTCTCTTGCTGTACCTGTGTACATAAGAAGGTTGATAAAATTGATGTGATTATCAAGGCCTATCACTGTTATCAGCTACATCAAAATTTTATCGAGCATTCTTCTGTCAAGGTAAAATTGCATATATAGATAAATTACTGGGGATCATCAGTGTGGACACAATATGTCAACCACTGATTAGATATTCTGCATTAATCAAATATTGGAGAAGATATTGGAAAACAAGAGAGTCATGTGTTGACTATTTAGAAATCAAGAAAACCTGCCCAGTTAGGAGGAAAATGTTGTGAGTCTGGTATATCTATGAAACTAATTAGGTCAATTAAAATGTGTTTAAATGAAACATACAGTTAATCAGGATCAATGGCTAATAACAGGGACAAATGGAAGAGTCTTAGGTTCATGGTAATGAATTTCAGGTTCACGAAATTGCAGGGAATTTCTTGACTAAGAAAGCAACTATTATCTTCTTAATAAGAACCCTACTTATGTAGTTAGTCCATAATCCACTTATTTGTGTGCAATGCAATGTATCTGTGATTCCAGTCTTTACGTTTGTATTACCAGTTTCACTAAATGGATTGGCACAGCATTAACTGATATTTGGTAAGTAGCTTACCTGACAACCCAGACTGCTTATTCAAGGTTTATCTCAGTTCTTCGAGGCAAATGGTAAGATCGTATGTTACAGTAGTCCATGACAGCTCCCTCCTACTCCCCACCTGATTCATGATTCCCAATTTAATGCTCCCACTGGTGCACCTTTATAAGATAACCTGTACTATGCTTTTTTAGTTCTAAGTCAGCTTGAAGGAGTGAGTATCTTAATGTCTTTGCAGGTGGATCAGAGTACATTGTGCGAAAGTTTATTTCCCTGTGTTCTATGTCAAGTACACAAGAGAGGGTCGCTCACTTCAGAACAGTGTGCTGAAAAGTGCACAAATCTGACAATCAAAAAAGTAGATGCCGTAGAGGGTAAGTTTTCACATTTGTAACTTTTTGTCTACTAAGTTATGTTATCAAATTATGCTTTTTTAATATTGGTAGGCTGAATAGCGCACATGGTAGGCCATTTTCTAAATTTCAGATAGGCATAGTAGCACCTGAAGTGTCCGTAACCAGTTCTACTATTACTGAGCATATCATCCCATCTGTCTCTTTTAATACATGCAACTCCGCATTTTTCACACATTATTCTTTAGAACATCTTTGTAAGCAATAAGAAAATTATAATTATAAATTAATATGATATAAAATACATCATATACATGCCTAGTTTAATGATGTTACCCCAAATCAACATGGCATCACACTAAATATGGGAAACTATAGAAATTTGCAGTATATGAACACTGTTACTATAGTCACAGCACTGATCTATGTGATACAAGGAATCGCTGAAAATAGTTGCTGCTTCTCTAGTTAAGATAAAGCCGTTGACATAAATTGAATAACATGCATAGTTGACAGGCGGATGGTTGGGTAGTAAAGGATATAAGATAATATTGCTTAAGACCTGATGTAACTCATTTGCCAGTTCATGATTTCTTTATATGTTTACATACAATGAAGGCATGGGGAGGCTATTGGTGTCTGTTTCATCATACAAAGCTCATAACGTAATCTGATTAAGTTTCATATCTTAGATCTACACTAAGAGTTGTTACAAGTATCATTTTGGTATACATAAGTCCTCTGTAACCTCTAAATTACATGAAGCCCAAGTCAGAATTTTGGAAAAGATGTTTTATTCCAATCATTCAAAACTTAGATTCAGTCCTGGTGAATAATGTGGTAGTGCAGCTCAAGAAAACAACATACAAACAAGGAATTTTTGCTCCTGTCTCCAAAATGTTTTTCAGTTGCAGGGTTTTATTTTCGGAGTGGGAGGATAATTTATCTTGTTAAATTTAAAGTTTACAGAGAACACAAATCATTTTTGTTTTATAACCAGTGTGTTAGAATCCCAAATCTACACAGAATTCATGATGGTGTTCTCCTGAGGCAACCTAGAAAAGAATGTGGATTTGGTAACCAATATTATTGAAGAAAAGAAAATGTTGCATGTATAGTTCAGCTTAGCACAGCATATTAACTCCTCAACAAGCAGGAAAAATTTGGAAAATCTTAACTTTACATTAGATGAATGTCAGATATTTCCTACTTTTGTCTTTCTATACCTTAGGACAATAAGGCATGGGAATTTTAGGTATCATTTATACAATGAAAAATTGTGTCTTATACTTCTAAAAGAAAGGTGATTTTAGACAGTGGAGCTTTCTAATACATCTTACAATTACAGTACTTCAGTACTTTCATGTAATATATGCAGGTGAATAAGATGTGATTGTATGGACTGGTTTTATATCACTTGGGGTAGGGCCAATAGATGACACCTGTGAATATAATGGACCCTTGGATTCTATGAAATGTTAGGAAATTCATAATTAGCAGAGCAATTGGTGACTTTTCAAGAACATCTCAGCTGCATGAAGTTAATTAGCTCTGTGCGGATGAGGAAGTGAAGGCCAGATGGCAGGGCACGCTTCATATTAATTGCACAGGCTGAAGGCCGATTAGTCTTGTTTATATCTATACAACATATGTGTTTGTGATGGGAATGTGTGGGAGGTCAGTTTATTATGTTCTCCATCATTTAATTAAAAGATGTTACATTTTAAGGTAACTGATGGAGACATGTTTTTCATTTCAGAGAACATAACTGGTGGTACTGACTGTGAGCAGGACTATGATGAATGCCAATTGAAATATCAATACCTATACAGTGAAACATCAGCCATCGAAATAAAGGCATTACATGAATTGAAATGTCCTATACAGATGAGTTACTATAGTAAGTTTTTTGTTACTTCTGTGATTCATATAAAACCGGCCCGACGAAATGAGCTGTAATATAAAATATACCATACAGATATTAAAGTAATTTACACATATCTTATCTTGGATTGTGTGCCATGATCAGAGTAGGTGTTGAAAGTGTCCGCCATTTTCAAGTAGGCACACCTCCACCCTTGTTTGCATATTCGCCATGACTCGCTGCAGTGTTTCTTCAGTGATGTTCCTGATTTCAGCCGAAATGTTGTCCTTTAAATCCTCTAATGTACACGGTTTGTTTGCATACACCCTGTCCTTCTGTAAACACCAGAGAAAAAAAATCCGGGCTGGTAAGGTCGGGGGATTTCAGGGGCAATATCTTTTTAGAGATGACGTGATCGGGAAAGAAGCTCTCAGTCAGTTCTATGGACATGTTGGACGTATGGTACGTCGCTGAATCCTGCTGAAAATAACCCTGTGTAAGTTCCACTTCATCCAGCTGCTGCACGAAATCGTAAAAAATACAACAGTATAAGGCACTGTCCACGGTCGTGTCGAAGAAGATCGGTCCAGTGATTCGTAAACCAGAAATGGCGCACCACACACCCACTTTTTGTGGGTGTAGTGGTGATTCAGCAATCTCATGTGGGTTTTCAGACGCCCAGATCCTCGAATTTTGTGCGTTTACATATCCTGATAGGTGGAACCACGCTTCATCACTAAACCAAGTGATATCCAAAATTCTGGGGTTATCGTCCACGAATTCCCGAAACCATAAACAGTACCGTACTCATTTATCTTTATCAACATCACCCAATTCCTGGATATTGATGATCTTGTAGGGACAAAGATTCGCTTTCTTTGGAGCCCATTGACACGTTGAATAAGAATACCCGGTTTCCTGGCTTAGATGTCATAATGATTTCTTGGGAGACTGCAGTAACCTGTCCTGCACAATTGCAATCATTTCTTCTGGCATTTCTGGGTGGTTTTTACCACGTTCACTTAAAAGTGTCCCTGTCCTTTCCAATTTCTGAGCCAAGGACTGTATAGTCGATTTCGCTGGCCTCTTGTGAACTCCAAACTTCCTCCTGAATTCCAATTGTGTGTTCGTTATCAAGCCTGTCACCCAGTACGTGGGCACGAGAAACACTCGCTGTTCAACAGTGTACTCCATGACTGTCGCCTGTGCACTGCAGACACGTTTCGGGATTGTCCTTGACCATGCAGCATAAGGGCTGCCACTTGCTGGATCATGCGCACACCATTCAACTCAGCACAACCCACGGATTATTATGTCATAATTGTGAGCGGTTATATGCATCACCTGCGGAATTGTTAGCAAATTCATCGGGTAGGTTCTATACAATTCACCTTCTATAATATTAAATTAAGCATACAGTATCAGTGACTGCTATGTCGTTGAAATTTATTAGCTATGGGGATTACTGTGATTAAGTTATGATTCAGCTGTGGCTAATTCATGATAATAGGCCAAAATCAGAAGACATTTCAGGTGACTGGTAATAATGTAATAATTTACCTGTTAGATATTACACATAGTGTGCATATGCAGTACTGGTTGTGTTATTGGCCATGAAGATGATCCAAGAGGGAAGGATATAAACATTTAATCCTTTTTATCTCAGCTTCACCATGCATCCAAAGAGTTAAGAGAGGAGAGTGAAGTAGATGTGTTGCTCAATGAATTAATGGTTTCAGTTTATGACTGACCAAGGCTACTAGGTGATGATCACAGCTACAGAGGGGTTTTGGGCAGTGTTATCATGTTATTAAGAACAAACAGGGGAGGTAGTGGCAAAATTTATGCATAGGCCGAATTACAGGGTCTCTTCCCTTCCTCCAGGCCAAACATATCATAGGCATTATGTGGCTTGAACTGCCATGTACGAGGGGCGTTCACGTTCTAAGGTCTCCGATTTTTTTTCTCAGGACTGGGAGCAGATAGACACATGCGGTTTTGTTTAAAATACGTGTGCACTCTTTGTGAATGCGTGACAGAGATGGCAGAACTCTACGGCACACAGAACTCTAGTGGTAGCGGCGAGTGTGAGGAGTGTTTTTGATACTTAAAATGGCGACGTTTTCGTTACAAGAACAGCGAGTAATCATTCGTTTTCTCCACTTGCATGGTGCGACACCCATTGAAATTCATCGCCAGTTGAGTGAGACATGTGGTGATGGTGTCATGAATGTGAAAAATGTACGCTCATGGGTGCGACAGTTCAAAGAAGGCCGAACGTCGTGTGACAACGAACCAAAACAATCTCGGCCTTGCACTGACAGCATGTTCGAGCGAGTTGAGAAAGTTGTTTTGGAGGATCGCCGATTGAGTGTGGAAAACATCGCCCCCAAAGTTGGCATTTGGGATCTGTGCACAAAATCCTGCATGAAGACCTGCGAATGCGGAAAGTGTCCTCCAGGTGGGTTCCACGAATTTTGGCGGATGACCACAAGGCTGCACGCATGGCAATGATGAAGGCATGAATGGGACTTTCTTTTCATCAACTGTGACAGTGGATGAGACATGGATGCCGTTTTCCAATCCGCTATTGCATCAGCAATTTTCCAGTGGTCAAAACAGACTCCTACAAAAGCGTTCACAGCTGCCATGGAATCATGGCGTCGACGTTGTGAAAAATGTGTACGGCTGCAGGGAGATTACGTTGAGAAGTGACAGAAGTTTCAAATTTTTTGTATGATTATTGTGTGAGAAAAAAAATCGGAGACCTTAGAACTTGAACGCACAACGTAATATTGAGTAGAACAAAATGATTTGTTTATCTTGAAGAATTAAGAGGGTTAGTTCCTGTCATGAGTTAGTTGTAAGACAGCTGCTATGCAGTGAGGACATGAGTATGGAAGCAGAGGAATATTCATTTTATGGCCGTTACCAGGCAATGACTGGTGAAGAGACAGAAAACTTTGTGTGTGCTGCAGTATAGTGATTTGAAGAGTGCGTAATTTAGTGAAACAGTTATTTGACGGTAGTTATGAGTTATATTTCCAATAAATCCAACTGCCAATCCAAATCCCATGTCTAGTCCCTAACATGTGACAGTATTTTATAGTTAAAAATAATACCAGAAGGTTAGATATATCTCAGATTGAAATCCCTATGCTGTGTACCGGATATTAGGATCCCTTTGTAAACCATTGATAAATATTGTAACATGTTTCGTTACAGAATACGCCGTAGAGATGGTTAATTGGTTTATTTAACAATCTACAAGTAACGGCTACAATTACTTATCTCACAGTTATGGGTTTTCACACTTTATAACCCTAATCGCATTAATCTGTTAACACTGTTGCGGGGTTTCACGATTTATAACCCTATGCGCAAATCAGTTCCCTCTGTCTTCAGTAGTCTACACGTTTACAGTAGGGGAGCTATGTATCACTGTATCACACACTCCCAATTACACAATTACACACACGTCCGGTTCTTCTTTCCGCGACGGCTGCTATACTCCAACGGTAGTCGGCTGACTGGAGAACTGTTGATAACACACTCGGCAACTGTCACTTTACGACTCGGTACTGTCTTCGGCGATGGCCAGGTTACAACTCGGCTCGGCGACTATTACTTTACGACTGACTTCTACTGTACAACTCGGAAATGTCTTCAGTACAACTGAAGTCGCCAACTGCTACAGTAGAACTCACTGGTAGCTGCTGTGCGGTTCACTTATACTCGTATAGCTGCAGTGGTGCCTGTTACGTTCCACGTCAGAGTAGGAAGTTGATTACGGGTACGTAGCGTTGCGCGTTACGTCACCGTGGAGGGGTGGGAGGGAGCGCTATGTTACCGCCACGCGCCTGTGGCCTGAGTTGCCACGTTGCTGCTGGGTAGGGAGGGGTTCTCCGTTGCGCAACATGTTACAATATTTATATTGAGACAAAGAACACTAATTATTTGTTTCTTTTATTTGGTCTAGCCTATGCTGTGCCAGTTGTAGTCGTTTTCATCATTATTGGAGTTGTCCTTGCTCTGTGGAAATGGTTAACTTTAAAAAAAGAGAAACTTGAGTTCAGAAGGTTTATAAATGAGCAAGAAATGTCAAATTGGGGAGTGGTAAGTGCATTCATATTAATTTCACACATGCAGAAAGAGAGAGAAACAGACATGCCTCCACACACCCACTCCACCCCCTACACACAGACACACACACACATAATCACTCACTCATCAACCCACACTCTCACCCCGTCTCTCATTCTCTATCACTCATACCTCTCACACTCTCTGACATTCTCACTCTGTCTATTTCTTTCTCTCATGATACTGGCATTATATTATACAAGATTTTCTAATAGCCCATAAAACTGAAATTATTCTTAAATATTTGGAATGCTGTATTCATTTTCGAGTCCCTTTGGCAGCCAAACGCAAATGAAGTACAGTCACTGCTATGAGAACCTCAAACCCAACAAAAAAGTAGACTTTAATGATATTATTATTCTCAACAGAACAGTTTATAATTAGCCAAGAATAAAATGCGGGACATATATTTTTATTTTATTGATGTTAAATCTTCAAAGCTTATTATCATACAGTCTGAAACTTATTATATGATGAAAAAGGAAAATGCCTTGAGGTCATAGGTGTTGACATATTAGTATCCTAAAAATTCTGATATCATGTAGTGTTTTGTTGATCATTGTAATCAGAATGGCTTATTCTGAAGTACATGAAAGTCTGATCATAAATCTGTATAATACTGTGGAGGGCCACTTAGGACCAGAATATTTGGAATCAGAATGCAACCATTGCTGTACAACAGCTAGTAATTCCTAGGCAGCGAAGCTTAAGAAATCATTGCCCCGAAAATGAAAGGCTAACAGTCGTGTTTCCACCGTTACAAACGAATTGTTTGAGGGAGACATGTATTCCTGCGTTCATTGCATAGCAGCAGGTGAAATCAACCTTTTAACAAGGTATTCCCTATTCATTCCAAGGCCAAGTTATAACAGTCCAATGTTGACAAGAGACTAGTTCAGTTTATACTGGACTTTCGCAGGAAAGAGTTCTTATCCAACTAGAGCAGAAGTGTTGCAACATTGGAGAGGAAACATCTAAATGACGTAATAAGTGGAGAATAACTGTAAGTGTTAGTGTAAAAATGACTGTCCAATAAAGATATTCATTCAGATCCGAGACCCACATGAATGTTCTTGTCGCATTGCCTAGCAAACACGCGACAATGGTGTCAGAAGTGGGATAGGCTCGGATTCGGGAACAAACTCCTGCTGGCCATGCAAGAAAACATGAATGCCAGCAGAGAGGAAATGAGAGCGGAAAGTAAGGCCGACCGAGGCCACGCCATAGTGGCTAGTCGCTGGCTTCCCGGCCCGGGTTCGATCCCAGAGTCTGGGGAAGTGGGATTTGTGGTGGACAAAGTGGCGCTAGGGCAGGTTTTCTCCGAGTACTTCGGTTTCCCCTGCCAATCTTCATTCCACCAATTGCTCCTCAATCACCCTCACCTATCATCTGGGGCTGGTACAATAGGCCAGAAGTGGCCGCAGTACAAGGGACTTAGTCCCACCCCACTAGGAAAAAAAATAAAGGCCGACCGAGATGAAAGGAAAGTCGACCTAGAGGAGCTTATGATAATTATGGGGGGGAAAAAAAGACGATTTTAATCGTTTCTTGAATCCTGTTGCGTGTTTAATCAATAGTAGAGTGAATTTATTGACTACACAACACGTTTTTTATCACATTATCACTACATGTTTCGACCTCAAGAGGGCATCTTCAGGTGTATGAACACAGCTGTATAATTACACGCGGTCGCATTCACTTTTCACTCATTCTACCTTGTATCTTTTCCAGACTTACGCTCACTAATATATGGAGTTCTTTTATAAAACACAGGTTAAAATTATTATTATTATTCTAATTTAATTGTTAAAAGTTAAAAGTTCGTGAATCGAGGTTCAATTCATGTCACTGGTTACACTTTCACTTGTTTTTCGGTCTCATTTTTTACTTACGCTCGCTACTGTATCTAGTTCTTTTTAAACTGGTTTAATTATTATTATTGTTAAAAGTTCGTGAATTGAGGTTCAACTTATGTTATTAGTTACACTTTCACAATGATCATAACAGATCCAGCAACATCAAAGGACGCGGAAGAACAGTGAGACCTCACAAACAAGTGAAAATGTAACTAATAACATAAGTTGAACCTCAATTCACGAACTTTTAACAATAATAATAATTAAACTAGTTTAAAAAGAACTAGATACAGTAGCGAGCGTAAGTAAAAAATGAGACCGAAAAACAAGTGAAAGTGTAACCAG